TAGTGGGAGAGCTCACACGATCCATCTTGAACGAACCAAGTTCAATTCCTCCTCCCGACACATTTACCCTTCTAACGGCGGACTGGGCTATCTTATACTAGCTCTATCATCATGTCCAAAATATGCAGCCCGGCCCCTAGAAGATCCAATACGGCCTCCCCAAGAGCCTATAACCATCCCTACAGCACAACCCATTTACCCCATATACCTTCCATTCTGTCTCCTTCTCCCCCATCTCCCTCCTTTCCCCCAACTACCTACTACCAACACCACTACACCTAAGCATACACAGCCCATTCGACTCACCCTTCCCTCCGGAATAACCACCGAATCGATCGTCAGGCATACCCCTCAACCCTGCCATACGGCAAGCCCTCCGGAAACGCCCGTGGAACATAGAAGGCCTATGACCGCACATACTGTCACAAACCACCACCACTACACTACAAAAATTACGGCCAACGAATTTCCGTTCTCCATCTGAACTCCCTCTTAATATCACGATCAATGTCAAGCATCATCTCCATCACGTTTTCTTTTGACAATTGTTCCAGAGCCTAAAGGCAATAAAAATTTCCGATTCCGTCCCCTCCCCTTTTCCTCCCTACCAAATCCAAAATAGCCGCATTGCGCTCCTCCGCAAGGACATCTTCAGCGGTGATCAATTGGGCATCGTGCATGACACGATCGACAAACTCGGCGAATCTAGACAACCAGACTTAGCTAATGCAGCAAATGACCCTACTTCACACGGGAGTGGTATTGAAAATAAAAATGGAAACGAACCAGCATTACTACTACTAGCAACCACGACCATAATGTTATATATAACAACTGATCCAAAGTACATCAGCACAGTGCACAATATACATATCATCAAATGATCAACACAGTCAACACAGACAGGTTAAAATATTCATACGAGAATGAAGAACAACCATCACTACACCAAACAATGTTGTCACTAATTCAGCCAAAATCAAGTTCATTTCCATTTCAATCGAATTCCTTACGTCACATTCAATTCTCATCAACATACTCTACATAACAATGTATTCAATACGCCAATCTATCCATATTATTCACATCGGGCGAGCAAAACGCCGACGCCATTTTCCCTCCACAAATGTACTACTTTTCCATCGACTTAGCCATTGGCAGCGTTTCCTCCCTTTTCCTCTCTCCCTGCTGCCCAGCCACTTCAGATTGTTTCTTCAACTCTACACCCTCCTCCCTCTCCTTCTCCCCACTACCCTCAGGCATATCCCTGCCCTCCTACCAATGCAAGCCCCTCCACCACAACTACCACCACTACCTCCTACTACTACTACTACTACTACTACTACTACTACTACTACTACTACTACTACTACTACCTCAGTGCCGAACCGTCTAGCTCTCTCCACCTTCCTCTTATGATCATCATCATCCTCATCCCCACCAGAAAGCAATCTCTTCCGACTCCCGGGAGA